TAATTCTGTTGGATCATCAAAATAATTATATGGGAGAATAAAGCATAATGAGCAATGCTGCAAAAAGTTTTGACATTCTAACAATTAACGCTTTGAACATCCTCTACATAATTATTTTGATATAATTTAACCAAATTACTTTTTCAGATCTGTATCTCTAAGTAAATTTTTAGATACTTGAGCAAAAATGTTGAGCAACCGTTCTATTTATGTAATTAAACTGAGAGAAAAAAATAGTTGTAATTATTATAATTTAGCTAATATTAAATTATTAAATATTTAATATATAGGTGACATTTTTAATTATATGTTTATTTGGTAGACGTATAAATATAATTATTATTACTAACATTATAGCTAATAACCATAAAAATGGACCTTCTAATCATAATTATTTTATCTTGCAATTATAGTCACAAATACCCAACACTTTTCTCTCAGTGTATAGCTACATAAACGGTTAACGATCGTCAGAGCTGTCAACGTTTTTCAATTTCCGAAAATGTATACGTATCACAAGTAATATGAATAAGACATTTTTATTTCACGATTATTGGCAGTCGGACGCAGTTGACGCTCTGGACGTAATAAGATTCAATGATACGTTGCGAAAACACTGACCTTACAAAAAATCGACGTAGGTGCAACTATACGATGGGATTTTCATTTGAAATAGTCAGTCGTTACTCCAGGCGTTTCCGCTTAAACTACGACACACACTTGACATTTCTCTCGAAAGTATCTTCATTTTCATCGAATTGGTTGGTTCTATTTTCAGAATTTTAATGTAATGTTCGATGGGATCACGTTTGCCACACGCGGCGGAATCTCAAATTCTCAAATTTGGGAGATATTTGAGATGTTTGAGAAAGAGCTCTGGCGATGTGATCGAAAAGAGGGGGAGGGGAATGCCAATTTTACAGAGATCGCGCAAATAATCAAAGCTAATGGATAACACGAACCGCGGAAAATCAAAAGAGACATAAAGAAACATAAATAAATGCACGCCAAGAGTAACGGATCGACTAACGAGCCGACATTTCACGCATCCGAGATTCGGGCAGCATGCCCGAGGAGACTGGTGAGCCAGGACCGACGAGGAAGCGTGCCGCACCATTTTTCACCGGCTAAAACTTTTCTTTCGAAGAAGAGGAGGAAGCGCTCTCGCGTCTCTCGTCGGGCTCCACTTTCGGCATGCCATCGAGGAGGTAAACGTTACGTGGTGACGCGAAGCGTGGCGGCTATATTAAAACCAACCATCGCGCGCGTGTGCGTGTGCAGGTCGTAAAGTACGAGACACGACGCACGTATATCCCGACTTTAGTGCCCCAGCACATTACACCTTCCTTCTGCTTTCTCCAGGCTCTTCCGTCACACAACGCGCTCCATCGTGCAATGTAAAGAAGTTATTTCGATTACGCAAACTTATCACGCGGAGAAGGAAATCGAGATCGGGAGATGATACACCGTAGTTGTCCGCGAGCGAGATTCGTCTAGATCGAAGAAGCGAGGAGCGCATTCATAGGGGGCAAGGAGTAACACCGTTCATGGATCGAGGACGAAAATCGCGCGTCATCGCGAGGAACCTGTCGTTTCTCGTAATCTGCCAAGTTACGCAACGAAATAGCGGCAGTTACCTTGGCCAATGCAAATACGCGTCGTCGTATTCGCTTCGACTACTGCAATCGGTATAATGCGCACCCGAGTCTTTCTCACGATCGGGTCAGTTACAGTATAACCAATTCAATAAAAAAAAATAGAGACGTCGTTAGATTCTCTTTTATTTTAATCTGTAAAGATTATTGTCTTGAAATTTACGAAATTGGATTAAGCGTTTTTCAGAATTAATAATTGGAATTTTTAATAAATGTATTTTACTAACAATATAAGGCTTGTCTATGTAAAAACAATCAAATTATAAAATAGACCAAACTAACGAGCACTAATAAGGTGACGCTTAAATATAAAATATAAAATTTATTCAAAGCAAATAAGTGCGGTACATGGTTTGGCTTTACTTAGCCTTTTTCAGCCGTAAAAATCAAATAAATAGCAAAAAAATATATGAGTCGCATAATCGATGTATAATAATAAATTAAAGAGTCGAATAGAAAATGTATATGAAGTAAGAAATAGCGGCGTTAAGAAATAGCAATTTAAGAGTCAATATAAACATAGTGGTCGTCGAAATTTCTCTTTTATTCTGAAGCAGTTTCTTTGTCCACATTATAAAACGTCTCAACAGAGTGGAAATTCCGTCGAAAGTATTGTGAAAATTTGTTAAATGACAAAGTTAATATCGTCAACTATGGATTCAAATGGCTGCAATTAAAATAAAAAATAAATAATGTATATAAAGAAATATAACCACATCTTCGGCTGAGACAACAACAAAATTTTAGATCATGAAACAAATTACCATAAAAGAGTAGTGTCCGAAATAATTCATATAAAATCAAAAGCGGGTAAAAACAAATTAACGGTCTTAATTCCGTGATACCGAAATGTTGGACCCATCATATTTTAATTTATTGTCAAAAATTTCTAAATATGTTAAGTAACGTCTTATTGGTTTTGTATGTTCTGTTATTTATAAACAATTATTGGTGATCGCTGATACCGCGCAGTCTCTTTAGTACTCATTCGTACATTGTACGCTCTACGACAGCGACTAGTGTGAATTTATTCTACTTTGTCCATATACGAAAAACTTGTGGATTTTTTACAATTAACTTAGTAAGTTTTTAATATTTCTTTATATACATTATTTATTTTTTATTTTAATTACGGCCATTTGAATACATAGTTGACAATATTAACTTTATTATTTGACAAATTTTTACAATACTTCCAACGGAATTTCCACTCTGTTGAGACGATTTATAATGGACAAAGAGACTGCTCCAGAATAAAAAAGAAATTTCGACGACCACTATGTTTATATTGACTCTTAAATTGCTATTTCTTAACGCCGCTATTTCTTACTTCATATACATGTTCTATTCGACTCTTGTTTCTTTACACTAATTTATTATTATACATCGATTATGCGACTCATATATTTTTTTGCTATTTATTTGATTTTTGCGGCTTAAGAAGGCTAAGTAAAGCAGAAATATATACCGCGCTTATATGCTTTGTATAAATTTTATATTTTATATTTAAGCGTCACCTTATTAGTGCTCGTTAGTTTGGTCTATTTTATAATTTAAATGTATTTCATCCTAATCAACTTTGACCTCTGTAAAGTTAACACTTCATCATCAGAATTTCAATCAGTAATCTTTTCCGAAAAGTCGGTATGTCTGTTGCAAAAGGCTATTTCTAATTATCTGTGTATTTTTTTCTGACATTTAACAGCTTGACTTCCACGACGAACATACAAAATTCATCTATCTTTTGTTCGGTTTTTTTCTTTTTTGAGCGAAAGTATATGTGACGCAATAACGCGATAAAATTTGGTCATCGATGGCACAGGTTAACCACACTGGTTGCTGTCATTTTGCTTTTGGATAACGAGAGTTGTCAATAACAATTATCTGTCAAACACGTAAATAAACTGTTTCATCGATAAATAAAATGTTCGATACCGAGAACGGGCTAAGTGCGCGAAATGGAAATTCCATTTAAAATTCAAAGATTGTAGCTTTCGTCCGTGATAAGACTTATCATTTACCAGGAATCTTATCGTTGACATTAGCATCGCGTAAAAATATCGACAACAAAACGAACGCGTACGCCCGTTATACGTTCTTTTTTTTCGCGGAACTCCACATTAATTTTATTTTAAATGTGCGCGCGTGAATTTTCCGCCTGTCACGTGCCTCGTTTTTCCTCGATCAGCCAACTTTTATTTTAGGCGCGATGACGATCGACGGCAGCGTATCGCTTTCGAGCCACACACACATGTGCATGTATATATGCGCACATCGTAGCTCGTCAAAGCGCATCTACGTTTACGTTCGAAAAAGATATCGGCGAATCGTCGAACGAGCGATAATGAAAAAAGAAAACAGCTAACGCCACTGCGAGTCTCAACGAGCGTATCAGTGCGTGCAAATGTGTGTGGGAGGTATCGTTTCACAGACATATAATGTCTTTCCTCCGCCCGAAAAATTCGCCCTTTTTTTACCTCAACGAATTTAAACGTTTCTCGAGACACGCATCGCATATGTACGGCGACGCGACGCGACGGTTGACCTGGCGTGTTACTAACGCGGGGCATGAAAAATCCTAGCATAAACATAGCGTTATCCTCATAATTGCTCTGAGTAATAAAAAAAAAGTTTTACATTGATTTTGATAATTTTATAGATAGTATTATTTGGATTCAATAGCAAAAGTTAATTTAAAATATTTGAAAAATTTTATTTTATACATATTACGATTTAAAGTCTTAGAATTTACTGAACTCCATCTTGGGCCTTGGCAATCGCACTATCATATTTTCATCTTAAAAACACCAGATTTAACGATTCTTGCAAATCGTTTGCGCACATTCGCGATTTCTCCAGATAAGTGTATAGTGCTATCACGGAGTTGTCTGTCGTATGCTATCTGTCGCGGCGGAGTTGCAGATTTTTCGTAATGTCCCGTAGTTCAATCCGATCTGCGTACCCCGCCGTCATTACGCTATTACGAGGCCGGGGGCATCTAATGGGGGCCCATGCTGCGGCACGAGGGAATCACGCTGTCGCGTAATGCACACGCATCGTCTCGTCCGTGTTACGCATACAGATGGATGTGAAACGCGCGGCGTTCCATCGGCCTAAACCGTCGGCCGTTTATCACGCGCGCACGTACATAAGCTTCGAGTTGTTCGAGAGCGGCGAGCGGCGCGGCGCGGCAGCGCGACTCTTTCATCGCTATTTTACGCGCACGCATGAGAGAGACAGAGAGAGAAAGAGAAAGAGAAAGAGACGAGGCGGAGGGAAATTATTATTATTAGTAACGACGGACTGCGGAGAGCGCGCGCGCGCTCGCGCGCACATGAAACTTACATTGATCGAATATCTTAAGCATCGCTTTCTTCAGCTGCATAGTCGCGTCAGCGACCGCGGCGCGGACTCGCCCCGACGTAGAAACAATAACGACACACAGTGCACGACCTCTCGTTGCCTCGCGCGGTCTGTCCGACTGCTCCAGTCCATCGTCGATAAGGCGAAACCTTCAAAGAGCCACTGGCCGTCGACCGACAACAGGACGCTGCATCTCTCCGCGCGGCGCGGTCGCGGTCGCTCGGCGGCGGCGAGTCGACATCCTCTCCTTCCTTCTCTCCTTTCGCTTCCTCTAGGTCAGCACGCGCGCGTATATGCGTGTACGTGCATACGTGTATGCGTGCGTGAGTGCGTACGTACCGTGCGTGTATGCGTGCGTATGTGCGTACGTGCGTACGTAAGCACGATGCAACACTCGACTGGTATCGTGCGCGCACTACTACTACCACCGCCGCCGCCGCCGCCGCCACTAACACCAGCAGAGAAGTCGTGGTTCGTCGTCACTTCCGGCGGGCTGGAATTCGCACGATGAATGAACTCGTTCGCACAATAATACGTCTCCCACGTATGACCTTCTGCTCCTCCTCCTCCGGTGGAGGAAGGCGCGAATTCTAGATCCGAATAACACCCACGTGGTTGAAGCGCGAAGCGCAAGGCGGCGAGTCGTATTCGGGATTCCCCCGAGGAATAATTTTCATCGGCTAATTCAAATTCAAGTTTGCGTCACTCCTCCGGAAGTCAAGCGCGCGGCTGCCCGATCTCCCAAGCTTTATCGCGCTCTCGTGCTCTCGGAGTTAACCCTCGCGACTCCCCTCCGCGACGCGGAAAAACCAGGAGGTGACTTCGCGATCCTGGCTGTCTTTTTATTCCTTTTGTAATCACACCGGAGACGCGTGTGGATCGAGGAGAACTTGGCTGCAGTAATCGGCCACAGATCGTGGAAACTTCGTAATCACGCAATCTCACGGTCATCATTCGTTGATTCGACGCGATAGGAGTTCAGCATCCGCGAGATTCGAGATCGTCGGTACACGTACCGATACCTTCTATCGCACATCACATTGAATCGCCGTACTCTCGCCGCGCTCCAAATCTCACACACTGTCTCGTCCGTTCGCACTGAAGAGATCGCATATTTACCATTCCATCGTTTCGTCGGCGTGCAAATGCATGTTTTCTTTTTTTTTTTCCTTCCAAATTATACCTCCGAAAGATGAAATTTCTCTCTCTTCTTGTGTATCGCGCGATGGCGTAAATATCCGCCGTTCCCGGTTGCGAGACGTTCGCGCGACGTCTTTCGAAGACGCGCGTGGCACACCGCACGCGAGTTTAGCTGCGACTATTAAGAGTCGGGTTGAGTAGAATCGACTTGAGTTCAGTCGAGTCGCGGTGCGGTGCGACGCGATGTGACGCTCCAAACGAGAAGAGAAGGGGAAGAGAGAGAGAGAGAGAGAGAGAGAGAGAGAGAGAGAGAAAGAGAGAGAAGGAGGAGGAAAGAGAGGGAGACAAAGTTTCTAACGTCGGTCTGCACGTCTCTATTTTCGGAGCAAATCACATTATCAGGGCACCGTAACCAAAATCAAGGGGACGAGGAGATGATGCCTCTGACTTATCTCAGGGAAATACGAGAACCACGTCGTGTATAACATGACACGAACGAAAATTACACTCGCGATTATTCGTAACTCGCTCACGCGCAAGTGAGCCCTCCCATGTAACCGCGATAGGAAAAAGTTTTGTCGATCACGAGCCAGTCCAGAGAGATAAATATCCCCTTTATCTTCTCGCTTCATTATACATAATACGCTTGCATCGTCACATTCGCGCGATAACTATGCGTATGTACGTATGCGTGTACGAATGCGTGTACTCGTGCACGCGTCGCCAGGTAGAAGGTGGGAAGGAACGCAGAGGATAAAAAAAAAAAAGAAAGAGAGAGAGAGTTGAAGCATCCGTACTAGCCTCGTTATATATCAAATAATTATAACCGTTCGTCGTAGGTACTTTTTCGGAAAGAAACAAGAAAGATGAGGATTTATTGAAGATATTGATAAATCAGACAAATGGCGTCAGAAAATGCATTTTCTACGATTATGCGATTCCATTTTTAAGTATCTTTTTATAAAATTCGCGCCAATTCATAGAACATTAAAGGCAAAAAATCATGTGCCTCTTTTTTCCCGCTCTGCATGTCGAAGCAAATTAATCGCTTCGAGAAAAACACGAAAATACACATTATTGTTAGAGCAAAGATAGAAAAGAATGAAAGGAGAGTTTATATTTTACTTTTTTTTCGCTTCTCTCTTCTCTTTAGATAGCCTACAGGTTTGCGTCAGAAATTTAGTTATTATTTAACATAATTTGGTATGTAGGTACAGAGAAGCATATACATTTTAATATACATTTTTTTATATACACGCGCATTTTGACTCATCGAATTTTGTACTGCACAATACGTATACTTCTAAACAATTCTATTCTGAATTTCGACAGATTTTAAAGATTGTATGAGCGACTTAATTTCACTCTCAAATTCCATGTCTTCCTCATTTTCACGGATTAAACGCGTTTGACTAAACACGCGCTTGTTTCTGACGTGTATCGTGACGCGTGAAACGGCGCATTAAAATGAAAAACATTTTAATATTTGACGCAATGATAATATTTTCCGCGTGGAAATGATAAGCGCGTTAGTACATGTACACGCGTGCATGCACCGCGCGCACGGCGCGCCACACGGATACACATACACGACGAGGCGTCGAATTATGCAACTGATGAGGTAGCGTTCGTGGTATCGCCACGGTATATCGAGATAACAACTCAGTAGGGTTTAGTGTCAGCGTTAAAGACGACGGCGAAATCGCGAGAATCTTTTTTGTTTCTTTTTTCGCGCAGAACTCACGCGTTAAGCCTCCTGAATCATCGGCCGCAGCTCGCGACGTCGAAGTCAAAGAAAAATCAAATAAAGTTTTTTTTCTTTTCTCGCGCGCTAAAATATCGAGATAAATTGATTTTCTCGCGTGCCACCACTTAGTAGATCTGCGAAGTATGACGAAGATATCTCTCGCAATCAGTTCACGATGCGAATTAATGAATTAAATACTGCGGATTTTGATCAACTTGAGCAACCGTCTCTACCGGAAACGTTGTACATGTTGGTTAAACCGTACACGTTCATCAATTAGAAGTGACACCAAAAAGAGCGAGAGAATATTGCCAATTTTCATCTATGAATACAAATGGCGCAGGCATACTGAAAAGGAATCGATTTATTTCGACATACAGTGGAACAAAAAGATTCACGTAAACTTTCAGGTTTTTTTTTAAATGTCGTAGTTCAATACGCGGCTGCAGTTAGTGATAAAGAGTTTTAACGCGAGGTTACATTTAGCAAATGTTCAACCGAGGCCATACTCTCAGCAATGTTCAACCGATCATCTTCCTCAGGTCGATTCAACATACTTCTTCGCGCTTCGTTGTTATAACGGAATTGCTCGCTGTACAGCACCTGGCTCCGCAGCTTACGAACAAACGGATTTCTCTTCATGATACATTTGCCTTGAGATAGTTCAACAAATCACAAGACTCTCTAATTGTTTCTAGATTCGCTAAGGGAAGAGGAAATTCAAAAATGGCCAAAATTTAAATGAACCACGAACCGACATTTCAAAAATTAATTCCACAGTGTTCCGTGTATATGAAAGAGAAAAGCAACATTTATAATAACAAAAAACGCAGAAAAAATTGCTTAAAATGATAATATACATATATAATACAATATTTATAATTCAGATAATGCATTTTGTGGTGTACAATATGCAGAAAAAATTAGAAAAACAAATATTATGTTATTTATGTTTTTCCTATATTTTTATTTTCTACATGATTAAAGAAGTGTAAAATATTACACATACCCATATATTCATTTGCCGTTTTAAACAATTCGATCAAATACCTCGAAAACTGAGCCCGGGCAAAAATGTTTCAGACAAAAGTTGTATGGTTTAGAGAAGGACAAATAATGATAAAATTAATTCAAAAAATTGATTTTTTAAGGTGATTATATATAAAGATCACTTCTTTAAAATAGAATTATATGGTTTTTTTACATAATGATTCTAATTATTTCTTCTAATTATTTGCATATCCTATCTTAAAATTGCCGTGTTACCTGCGTTGAAGCCTCTTTTCCCCAATGTTTAAAAATTCATATCTTCCAGAAAAATAAAAATATAGACTTCTTTTTCATCTTAAAGATAAATTATGTGGCTATTTCTTAAGAAATCGTGATTTTATTTAAAAATGGCCGATTCAAAATGGCAGATTAAAACGTAATTTTTTTGAAAATTTATTTTTTTCAAAAATTGTTAAAATTTGTTTAATAAAATGGGTGGTGATGGTGGGTGGTGGTGGTGGGTGGTGATAAGTGGTGGTAGTGGGTGATGGTGAGTCAAGAAAAATTTTTATTTTAAAAATCAAATGATATAAAAAATTGTCCAAAAAAATTTTTATTTTAAAAATCAAATGATATAAAAAATTTTCAAAACAAAATTTTTTACTTTAAAAATACATATAATATAAAAAATAGGTCGTGAAGAGTAGGTGTGGTGGGTAGTGGTAGTGGGTGGTGAAGGTGGGTGGTGGTGGTGGGTAGTGGTGGTGGGTGGTGGTGGTGG